AAATTGTTTTATTAATGTAACTTTTGGATTGTTTGTTGCTAGTATATAGAAATTCAATTGATCTTATCTCCTGCAGCCTTGCTTAACTTGTTTCTTGTTTTTTTTTAAATAACATTTTTAGGATTTTCTACATATAGGATCATGTCATCTGCAAATAGAGTTTAGTATTTTCTACACAGAGGGTTATGTTATCTGTAAATGCAGTTTTATTTTTTCCTTTTCAATCTGGATGACTTCAATTTTTGTTTTTTACTCGACTGGTAATAACCTCCAGTAGATGCTGAATAGAAGTGGTGAGAACAGACATCTGGCCTAGTTCCTTACATCAGGGAGGAAGCCTTCAGTCTTATTACTAAGCATGATGGCAATTGTAGTGTTTTTGTAAATGCCTTTTTCAGGTTGAGGAAATTCCCTTCTTTTATTAATTTTTTGAGGATTTTTATCAAGAATGAGCATTGGATTGTGTCAAATGCCTTTTCTATATCTATTGAGAAGATGAAATATCTGTTGTCCTTTATTCTATTGGTGTAGTATATTACATTAATTGACTTTCAAATCAACCTTGTATTCCTGGAATAAACCTCTCTTGGCCATAGCATTTAATCCTTCTTATATGTTTTTGGTGTCAGTTTGCTAGTATTTAAAAAGGATTTTTATATTTATATTCATGAGAGATATTGACCTGTAGTTTTTGTGTGACAATTTTATCTGGTTTTGGAATTCATGCTGGCCTCATAGGATGAGTTGGGAAGTTTTCCTTCTCTATTTTTTGAAAAAGTATGCATAGGATTGGTATTATTTATTCCTCAAATATTTGATAGGATTTATTTGTTCCTTATTTTTCCTTCTTGATACAATAGTTTATAGTGATATATTTTGGCAATATTTTGGTCATCTGCTTCTCCCTCTAGATTAAGTTGTGTGAGGGCACTGTTCTGGTGTCTATCCTTCAGAACCCTGGCTCCTCTGAGAGTGTTTGTAGAATAAATGAATGGTCAAATGGTAGAGGTCCAGTTTGTGTATTATGAAGAGATAATCTTCATTTGGTGCCAATTAAGTTTAGAAATCTAAAATATAGTTAAAGATGCTAACAGTGTTTTTGCTAAAGTGCTTTATGCTGAGAGGAGTAACTAAAGATTTTCAACAATTTTCTAAAAGAGTAGATTTTCAGATAGTATATAGCAATGAGTTTGGGGAATAAAAATTATGTAGTTTCACAGCATATAAATTTTATGAAAACATTTTGAGGAAAATAGAAAATAAAGATGGCCATATAGAAAGGTAAATGTAAAATTTTAAGATCAAATGCCATTTATAGTGGTCTTTAAGATCTCCAGCTTACCTATTCATTCTTTGTCTTTTTCTTGGGTGGAACCGTTTGAAAAGAAAGACCTGGGAAAGTCTGAATCCCAGCTCTCATACTTAATAGCTATGTCATCTTTTTTCTGTTTTGTTTTTGTTAATTCTCATCCAAGAATATTTTTTTCCCCATTGATTTTTAGAGACAGTGGAAAGGGCAGAAAGAGAGAGAAAGAAACATCTATGTGAGAGAGACACATTGATTGGTTGCCTCCTACACAAGCCCCAATTGGGGCCAGGGATGGAACCCAAGACCTTCGACTGGAAATGGTATGTCCTTTGACTGGGAATTGAACCCAAGACCCTCCAGTGCATGGGTTGACACTTTAACCACTGAGAAAACACTGGCCAGGGCTACCGGTAGCTATGTTATCTTGAGTGAGCTTACCTCCTAGGTTCAGTGTTCTTGTAATATGGGTCTGATAGATTTATGTTAATTTTAAGAGAGCTTATGGGAAAGTAGCAAAGTATATAATGCATAGCAAGTGATAATAAATTGTATATAGGCAAGGACCCTTTGGAACAGAGAGAGGTGTTTAAATGAGTTAGAGTTGGCTGGAACTAAACATGGGCAGTATGTGTAATGAGGGTGGCAGGGGGAGTTGTCCTGCCTAGCACCAGATCTACAGAAATACCCAAGATAAACTAGTGTTGAGGCTTATTTATCCACACCACCTTTGTCTTTCAAAATCTCCACCCCCTGTTGAGGGCAGGGATGGGAGAAGTTGGGAGTGTGATGGGTTGTCGACAAGCCTGCTATCCACAAGAGCAGTTTGATTGGGGGTGGTTCTCATAAAAGTCTAGGAGGCATGAATAGGACATTCTTCTGGAAGATTCATGGAGAATGTTTAGTCAGCTGCCAGGAGAAGGCTGGTGCCCAGTACGATAGTTCCTTTGTAAGGGCCATGTGATTGGTGCTCCCTGGCAGTGGGTAGGATTGCATTCATGCTTTGCCTTGCCTTCCACTAGCTCCCACTTCGCCATATCCACTAGGTTTCCATCCTCCCTTTTAGGACTCTGACCTCCTACCAGGAAGGCCAGGAGCAGCTTCACTCTCCACTGTTCTTGTCTTTTTTTAATCCTCACCCGAGGATATTTTTCCATTGAATTTTAGAGAGAGTGGAAGAGAGAGGGAAGACAGAGAGAAATATCTATGTGAGAGAAACACATTGATTGCCTCCTTCACACGTCTCAACCAGGACTGGGGAGGATCCTGCAACCGAGGTATGTGCCCTTGACTGGAATTGAACCTGGGACCCTTTGCTCTATCCACTGAGCCAAATTGGCTAGGGCCCCTTCACTGTTCTTAAAAACAATCAGTAAGCTTGCTCCCCCTCTGATCCACCTTTTTTACTTTCTCGAGTTGGGGTTGGCAAACGTTTTCAATAAAAAGTTATATAGTAAACTGTGGTGTTTCTCCTTTTTCCGCGTCCTGCACGGAAAAAACGACAAGTTCCTGATGGGAGGAGCTGGGGATTAAGAAATTAGAGAAAGAAAGAGACAAGAGGTAGAAATAGATTCATAAAGCTGGGCGCTAGGTGGGTGCCATCTCTCTGATGGAGAGACAGTCACACTCACCACAGACAACACAGCATATTTATTGGCTTCCAAAGGGGAGTTTAAGTCAAAAGGAGTTTCGGGTGTGCCCAGATCCTATTCATCAAAATCTGGGTAAGCTTGTTATTTTTTTGTACAAGATTTAGCATATCAAGACCTGAGTGAGTCAAGGTCCTATTTGTTCCACATTCCAAGCACATGGATTAAGAAATCAGTACTGATAACAGGATTCTGCCAGTGCTCTCGGGCTCAGCTGATAAGAATTAAAAGAATGTCCATGTGCCTTGTCAGGTGGCTCTCTACTGTAAACGTTTTAGCTTTTGAGGGCCAACAAGAAAATTCAGGAATATTTTCACAAATTCTTGACAAGATTCAAAATTTTATTTATGGATACTGAAATTTGAATTTTATTATTTCATTTGTCATGTAATATTCTTTTTTTAAAAAATATATTTTTTATTGATTTTATACAGAGAGGAAGAAAGAGAGATAGAGTTAGAAACATCGATGAGAGAGAGTCATTGATCAGCTGCCTCTTGCACACCCCCCACCAGGGATATGCCCACAACCAACGTACATGCCCTTGACCGGAATCGAACCCGGGACCCTTCAGTCCCCAAGCCGACGCACTATCCATTGAGCCAAACCGGTCCCGGCATGTAATATTCTTTTAATGCTTTTCAACCATTAAAAAACATACAAACCATTATTAGCTTGCTGGCCAAATAAAAACAGGTGGCCTGCTGAATTTGGCCTGCAGGCAGTGGTTTGCTGACTTCTGTTCTGCAGCCTAACATGGAAGAAACCCCCCCAAATAACCTCAATATTAAGTTTCCTAAAGTCTAATAATCCTCCGACTGACTGACACACTCTCTCACTAAAACAAAGCGGAAGCGTTAGGAAGTGTGGGAAAGAAAAATAAGCATAAGGATGATCAGTACTTTAAGCTCCCATTTTCACTAACCAGGAAGTCCTAATGTTTAATTCCACACCACCTACCAGAGCAGTGTAAACGAGAGTCCCAGACTAGAGATACGGAAGCTGCAATACTATACGGGGAAGGCTCCTTAGAGAGGGCAAAAGAATCTTAAAAAGCTGTGTTTCTTAAAGTGTGGTTCTTGACGCAGCAGCATCAATAGCACTTGTTAGCTTGTTAGATACAAAGTTCTCCTCCTACCCTAGACCTACGCAATCAGAAGCTCAGGGGTGAGCCCTGGCAATCTTATTTTTATCAAGCCAGCTGATTCTGATGCACAACTAACTACCTAACTAACACTTAGCCACCGTCCCTCTGTCTCATCATTGTTAGCACCTGCAGAAGCGATTGAGCACCCAACCAAAAGGCAAAGTCCAGCTGCCCTGAAACGCCCTGTTCCCAAGAGTGCGAGGTCTACGGGTGGAGCCAAGGGCGTTGATTTCCGCAAGAAAGACCTGGAAATAGTATTTAAGACCAGCCTTCCGGAAGTCAAGGGATGCCTTTCTCTAAGAAAGGATTCTATGGTCCTTAGAGCTAGAAAATGCCACCCAATGTGGTGACAGCCCTTTGGCATAGGCGACCACAGCATTGCTGACTTGCTCACCCACGAGCTTTCCAAAGCTTTTCCCTGTTCTCCAGGTTTCTCCAAGTTCCAATGAGTCTTTGCCTTGGGCCTGCCAGCAGAGGCGCTGGGAGCCTTCTGACCTCACAAAGGGCCCCTGTGACGGCATGGCCACCGGAGGCGAGCCTCCCGGCCGCGGTGACGTCACAGAGCCCCGCGGCCCCGCGCTGTGGCTTCCAGGGCCCGGGGCGGCTCCGGGCGCAGTTGGGCCTGCAGAGGCCGGCGGCTAGGTGCATGCACCGGAGCTCGCGGGGCTGGCGCTGCCCACGCTCCGTGCTTCTCTCGTGCAAGGCCAGCTCAGGAAAGGGAACAGACAGCCGGATTCTGCACGAAGGCTACTTGCATCCTCTTTGGCGTAAATATCCAGAACATTTGCCGAGGCCCCCTGAGACCTTGTGCACCCCCGTCGTCGAGGCGGTTGGGGTCTCCGAGGTGGCGGCGGCGGGGTATGCCCTGCGCTAACGTTCAGGCCTCCTCATGGCCCCGATGAAGAGGAAGTGCATCTGCGACCTGTGCTCCTGCGGGTAAGGTGACTGCTTCCGGGCCTGGAGCCTGGCTTTCCTGACAGCGGAGCTAGGCTGAGCTCTGACCCTGTGCTGCTGCGTCAGGCAGCATCGTGGTAGATTCACCCACTTGTCAGCCTTTCTGGGCGGCGGTGCTGTGAGCCTGCATTCGTCTGGTGAAGGGGGCAGTCAGGCCGCTCCCACTGTTCTCTCTCCCCAAGAGCTGCGCTGAGCTTGCAAATGGTCCCGGCCCCTGCCCGCAGCCCAGGAAGTAGCGGACAAGGCTAGGAACCCCCTGGCCTGCCGGGGATGAGTCTTGCTACTTTTCTTGCGTTTGGAAGGGGATGGGAAGGGATGGGGAAGAGGTGTCCTTCAACGCAACAGAGCTTCTTACTCAGAAATGATTGCTCCTTTGTCAGGGAGGTTGTAAGGTTTTTGTAAAACTTGTTTCCACTGGGGTGTGGCGTGGAGTAAGAGTAAGGAACAGAGTATGTTTGCATTTTCTTGTCCTGGCCCAGCTGGGTGTCTCTCCTGGTCCACTCTCCTTAAGGACCATGCCTGGGTGAAGCTGGGCCAAGGCAGGTGGTCCCAGGGACAAGTCCTCGGTTTTTGTCACTTTTTGTAGCTGGCTCCCCACCTGTGTTTCAGTGTCTGAGATGCCCCCCCTTCCACCCCACTTGCTTTCCAGGACATCCGGGAGCTGCTGGTCTGGGGACAGATGGGAGAGTGGGCGCTGGGGTCGGCTCCCCTGGCTGTTACTAACTGTGGGGTCTTGGGCAGGTAACTAAACTGCTCCAGGATTCTCTAAGCATTAAATGAGTTGATATATGTGGGACTCCTGCTAATGGATTGTGTTTAATATATGTCAGCATCATGAAAACTGCAAAAATTGCTTAACTGTAGTGTGTTACATGAATATAAACAATGAGTATAAAGTCACATCAGCAATTAGGAAACTGAAAGGGCACTCAATACTGGGTTAGAAACCTTGCTAATTTCTGGATGGTTTTCAACCCTGGCTGCTCATGAGAGTCACCTGGGGAGCTTTTTAAACTCTGTTTCTCAGGTGGTTAAATCATCCTCACTGAGTGAGAGTGGGGCCAAGCATCAGTCTTCAGCGGATTCTGACCACTTCCCAGGACTGGGAACTGCTGGACTCGCTCACGTTACAAGCGCGGGTCTTGCTTTTCAGTTTTGTGATGCGGGACCAGCACCGTGTTGTAGTCCAGGGCTGATTTTCCACACCATGGAAGCAAAACCTCCAAGGCTCACCCTCCTCTGGGGCCCTTGCATCATCTCCTGCCTCCTGGAGGTGTTCAGCCTGGGTGTACCTTGCACTGTTGTAGGCATTGAGACTGAAGGACAGGGCATCGTCTCCATGTCTGCACAGCTGACAATCTAGTGAGGAAGGCAGAGACGTGTGCTTAGGAGGCACAGGCATAGGCAGTGAGGCGACTCCCTCCATCCCTGTAGGAAGGTATACTCCTCTGGATGTTCCTCCCCAACTCTGCTCCCCTTGCCTCGCTGGAAAGGGGCTGTTTGCCATCAGAGGCACAGTCTGTCCTCAGGCCTCTTTTCCTTTCCTTCCTCCTCCTCCTGTGTCTGCCCCTGTGCTCCGAGGTTTCAGTAAACAGTTTGGTTTGACTCCCACATCCACCAGCCTCTATTTTGATTTCTCACTCTCATTTCACTCCTGAAAGTGCTTGTGGATCCATCTGACTATCTCATTAACCTCAACTTCAACAGCCTTCATTCACCTGGCCCACTTCCCCCAGCTATCTGCCTCTGCATTGGTTCAACAGTCTTCCACCCAGTAATCGCTCACCTTTTCTCATCACCAACATTTACTCTTTTCCCAAGTCCGGTCCACCCCCTCCTTTGAAATCTTTCAGTTGGTCCTCTCCTCCCTCTCCCCTCCACGCACCTCCATTTCCATTGGTCCCTTCTTGGGTCTCTCAGTTTTATGTTTGGAAACTGGTTCTAACTTTCTGACTTTCCCGTGAGTCCTTGACATACAACTACCCCTCAAGGCAGACTGCTTTCTGGGGTCCCCTGGGCAAACCCGATGACCTCTCACCTCTGTTCCTTGTCCTTGCTGCCCTTTCTCTAAAATGCCCGTGTCCCTTCCTTCTGCGGCATGCCCTTTTAAGGCCCTGTTTCAGTCACAAATCTCCCATTAACCCAGCCCTGTACCCCCTCATCAGAGGGGTCCCCGCTCCCGGTGTTCTTGCCTCTAGTTCCGTGTCTACATGCTCTGTTGCCCACATTTGATTGTATTCTCCTGGAAAGCAGAGATAGTATTTTCTGTTCTGATGTGGGTGCTGCAGAATACCCATTGATCTCCATATAGTAGTCAAAACACATCTTTTTGAACGAATAGGTTTTTGTTTGTGAAGGTGATAATATCAGAATGGATTAGGGAGGCAAGGCCTGTAACTGCCCTGTCCCATCCCATAGGTTAGCCACTCGTCTCCTGTGGTAAGTTTATCTAAATTAATGAAAATAAAAAATTGAAATGCTAACTCCTTGGTCACACTGGTTACATTTCAAGTGTTCAGTGTGTGTAGTGGTCACTCTACTGGACAGTACCGACAGGGACCATTTCCATCATGCAGAAAGTCACCCTGATGGAGGGTCTCATTATTCGGAAGTCCTCACCCCCCAATGCAATCTGCTCCGAGGTGGGTTGGGATGGAATGAAAGGAATTTTATTGATGTTTTCTAAGCTCCAGAAGTCGATGCTTTTTAACTTTTCCAGCCTGAGGGAAAGCACGGGAAAGAAGTCTGCTGGTCAGAAGAGAGAGCCCCGCAGTAGGAGAGGGGAGACTCGGGGTTTCTGAGCGAGTCTGTTGATCTCTGGGCTTCAGTTCCTGCAAATGAACTGAAAACTAATGGAGGCTTTTGGGGCTGCCAGGAAGGGAGGGAAGCCCACATCTCTTCCTCTTGTCACCCACTTCCTCTTTCCCCTAAAGCTTTGTTTGAGCAAAGAGTTCTTTAATGCCTTTTCAACTTTAATTTTGAAGACTTTATTGCTAGTGGGGACGCTGGGGATGCACAGGATTAAGCGTGGATTAGATAGGAAGGCTTCCTTCTTTCTGTAGGAGCAGTTGTCACTCTGGGAACTCTTAATGCTCCTGGAGCAATTTTTACTTTTGCCACCAGATGGCAGCCTTTCCCCAACAAATTCTCTCAAACCCGACCATCCTAAATGGAAACAAAACACACAACCCCGCCTGCTCCCGCCCCGCCTCCCCCCCCCCCCCAAAAAAAAAACACACCACAAAACAAAAACAACCACCCACCCTTGGTGTTCTGGATTTTCCTTTAGTTTAATCTTTTATAGATTTACCTTATTAATTTTTCTAAAATGAGCAATTAGTCAGTGTTTAGGACCCAGAAGAACTCAGGAAGTCGTATACCTTGAGGAGTAGATCACAGATTACAAAGTGAAGATGTTTCAAATATCTGAATCTAAAGATTCCAACCACTCATAAAACTTTTTAGTGAGCTTTGCTGGCATAAAAAAACCAAACAGGTGTTTTTTTTTTTTTTTTTTTTTTTTTTTTTTTTTTTTTTTTTTTTTTTTCTGTATCAAGTTCAAGGCTCCCTCCACAACAACACTCCATTTGACAATCAAAATCTGGCAATTGAAAATTTACCGAAAATGTTATAATCTCTGTTCAGTACAATCCATGCCAACGAGCAACCATATTCTTGAGCTGTAGAAATATGGTAAAGTGAGCAGTTTTAAAAAAAATCAAACTCTACCACTTAATTATCTTGGTGGTTTGGGGTGACTCTACTTTTGTGTGAGAGAATAATATTTCCAATTATATCTGAATACCACCAGCATTTCCTATTACTGAAAAATGCCGCCCTTCACAGTTTTCAGTATTATACCACCGTACATTTCTGTAGTGTCTTGAAAAATTTAAAAGCACTTTCTCACATATTATTATCTTACTGGGGGGTCCCTCAACATGGGGAAGCATTGCTTAGTTTGGAAATTTGATTCTTTAATCTTAGCCTCCATTTTCCCCCAGGGACGTTTTCTGTTTACTGAGCTGTTCTTGTCCCAAATTACTAACTTGGAAATGAGGAGCGGTTTTGGGGGAGCCATAGATAAGTGAAAATGTTAATCAGCTTTTAAAGCTGAAAGGATCTTAGTGGCCTTCAGTGCTTTTATTTTACAGATAAGGAAATGAAAGCATTGAGAGTCATTTTAACAGGCAGGAACACATATTGTTAAGATTTAGGCACGATTTAGGTCAATCAATTAAATTTCATTTTTCTCCTGTGTATCAGACACCGGACTGGATCTTACAATTTATAGTCTGTGGTCTGGTTTCTAGTCTCACGGGGCCAGTTTTGACTACAGATTACAATATGAAGGTTCTCCTCCAATCGATCAATAGTATCTGATGTAAAAAAAAAAAAGTATGACTCTAAAAGCCTTTTAATAAGGTAATATAAGTGGCAAATCTCTCCTGAGATTAACACATAGCAACAGTCCCCCCCCCCTTTTTAATTCTTAAGGGAAAAAAAAAGTAGTTAATCAAGGGATTGATATAGCTTACTTTTATATCTGATTATTTTACGGCTAGCAGTGCACTGTTTTAGAGACTTTGTGTAATCTTGCAGGAAATTCCAGGACTGGCTAATGTATCATGAAATATTTATGTAGCATTGGTAGTATGCACAGCATTTCATAAAAAGGTAGTCCCATAGAGGGCTTGCAAATTGCTGAAAAGGATGTGGATTTGGCCCCTTCGCGGTGCTCGGGGAGGAAGGTGATCTCAGGGGCAGCCATGTATCTGCAACTTAAATCAGTTATGTTAACCAGGGAGGAACTTGTTATTTTAATTTTGGAAAATATTTTCTTCACATTGATGGAAATTTCCTTAACCTTAGATTTTATTTTCTTAGAGTCTCTGTTACAAATTAAGAGGAAGGGGGGAAAAAAAATCGAGGCATTGGTTTGATATTACATGTTTCAAGAAGAATTCTTGTTTTTAATTTAA